TATATATACTATATATATATATATATATATATATATATATATATACATATATATATACATATATATATATACATATATATATACATATACATATATATATATACATATATATATATATATACATATACATACATATATATATATCGAAGACCCCGATTCATTGCCCGTAGAGTCCCATCGTTCTTTTTGGTGGTAGAACCAAATATATCTATCGATCGATTATCTAATTCATCTAAATCTTAAAAGTTTAAGTTGTTTAACAAATAATTAATAATTCAAATAATTTTTTTGTAGATAATTCAATATCACTGGAAGGATGGTTTGGAACGTACCATAAAGTTACTCAAAGCCAAAAAAGACATGTGTCATTATTCTTTCATAATTTAGATTATTTTGTTAAAATTATATTTATTTCCAACTTAAAAACTCTAATCTAACTTTTTTTATTTTTAGAAAATTTTGCAGCCATTTTTGGCCCTTTTTTCGTGTTATCGGTATGCTTTGTTGTATCAACACATGGTATGTTGGTATGGAGTGATATGTACCATACCGTCGGTTGGTCGGTATATCATTTCAGATCGGTAAGGTGAGCCTTGCCTCGTACCAGGGTCTATCGTACTAAACTGTACCGCCCGGTATGGGCGGTACGTACCGGTTCGACAGGTTGTCGGTACGCGGACCGCCTGTTACTGATCCGAGTGCACTGTAGCAGTGCTACAGTACTCGGCACACCTGGGTGTACCGCTATGTCACGGACTTAGCTGGTTTTGCTTAAGTCGTGCGGCACCCTTGCGTGACCGTCCGCAAAGGTCAGCCTCCCTGAAGCCTCCCATTGTCCCTTAGGACCAACAAAAGAGAGAACGGGTTAGAGAGAACGCCTCCATCGGGATCCACAAGCAAACATCTCCGAAAAATACTTCATAGACAATACAAATTACAAACAGACTTTACAAGCTCTGAACAGTTGCACAACAAAGGGTAAAATGGTCCATTACAGATCGAAAATCTCTCACACGTGTCCACATGACACAACCTTTATTTACAAGCCTAAAGAGGCCACCGACCCAACTAAAATGGGACTATTAAGCCTTCGGCCGCCCCTCTACATGCTGTACAAGGCATGAACATGCCAAAAGACACGGACATACATAAGCATTACATCAAACACCTTGTTTAAAAGTTTGTCCGTGACATTCTCCCCCACTTATTCCTTCGACGTCCTCGTTGAAGCCTTTGTCGACACTGCAACTCCTCACCTTTGCTGAGTCTTCAATCTTCTGCTCCAGCTACAATGCGCCTCTTGGCTCCTAGCTGCTCTCCGCTGCTGTTTTTGAGTAGTCGAACATTTTGATCCGCCATGCTGCTTCAACTCACGAATGACTCTAACTCTGGTGTGGGGTTGGCTGAGTTGTGTTGATTATTGTTGATTCCTGCGGATCGTCCAAATGAAGGAAAAGACCATCCTTATTGCGCCAGTCTCTCAAATTCCTCATGCTGCTTGAACTGGGTGGATGCTTGTTGGAGCTTTAATGAGCATCGTCTCGCAAACTTCTGAAGTTTTGGGTCATTCCTCCATAAAATTTGCTCATTGACTCTTCTTTCACTTAGTTGTCACATCCAAGTAGGTTCGCATCACTTCCGCTTTCGATTGGCATTTCGTTGGGAAATGAAGCGGACAATCTACTCTTAGTAGCACTGATCACCGTTGGTGAGGATTTGACAACTATTGTCTTTCATTATCTTCGAAGGGTCTTTGAACTTGTGTAGAGCTCCTCTGCTGGATAGATAAAGAGAATTGGGGTACTCGGTTTCGCCCATTCTCTTAAGAGTTGAGAAGGCAAAGGTTACTTGACTTCGCCCGCCTCCTCGAGGTTGTACTTCATGCATCGAGCTGGTTACTGGCCTTCGCTTGCTTTTTGGTCACACTTCTGAAGCACTTGAAGTGTTTGCACTCCTTGCGTTGAGTTAGCTACTGTGATTCACCTTCTCAATGCCATCGAACTTCTAGAATGCAGGAAGTTTTCACCCCAACTTGGAGTAATTCTCTCATTGGTTTGGTCGCCTCTGGGATTGTACCGTCTTCTCCATCAACCCTGCCGCCTACTCCGCTGCGCACCGCTTCCTTCATGGCAACTTGAATGGCAACACTGTGGCATATTCTTCAAGAGTACCCGCTTCTGCGTCCTCTTGCCCCGTGCTAAGGCCTTCTGAACCCAACTTCGCATCCGCAAATTGAGTCGCCTTAGTTCCTCCATCAAATGCTTCTCCGAGATAAGGTGCATGTGCCCAGAAGCTCCTTTCGTCTTTGGCACCATGCAAGATGAGTCCGCTCCGTCAGAATGAAGAACCCATGGAACAACATGATTCTACTCTTGCCTCTGCAAGAGTTCATGTCCTTGACCTCTGTCTAAGGAAAGCACTGTGCCTCCGCTCCATGTTCCAACTTCTATGCTGGCTCCCTTCATACGGCTTGGGTACTTCGCCAAGTTACACCCAAGTTGCTCCGCTCCTCGTTTATGCATTGAGTCGATGGTGGCCCTCGCGCCCACCATTCCACGGGTCAGCTCTCCCTTGAGTCCGATCTCCATAGCGACTCCAAGTGTGCCTTCATTTAAGTTGCTTTGGGTCGCTCCCCCACTTGATCTCGCAATGCATCCACCAATGCATTCTCTCAAGCGAGATCATGCGACGACTCCTCGCCGCTTGCTCAGTCCATTGAGCTTCGTGGAGTTGTTGTTTGTTGAAGTACTCCTCAACTTGTGAGGTCCGTCCCACATGATTCTCCCTTTGGAGAGCCGGAACTTATCCCTCCTGGATAATTGTCCCATTGGAGCAACATCTCTCTTCGTTTCGGAGACCACCATCCCCTTGGACTACTTCGATCTGCTGAACAAACTGTGCATTGTTCTGCCTCCTGCAAACGCACTTGCTAGATTGTGACTCCCCGTCAATACAGCCCACGCTGCACCACTCAAGGCCTAGCAACATGCTGAACTCGTTGCACACTCCAGCCTCCTAGGGACGTATCCTTTACATGCCGAAGAGAAAGTTCCAATGCTCCATGGCGCCGAGTTTCGGTCGCCTTGGGATGGCCGCGAACATTCCATCGTCCGCATACAAGCCTATGCATGAGTACCGAATTCTTTGAGTTAGCAATTCCCCTCACCTCTGTGAGCTTTGCACAACTCTTTCGATCGCTGAGCAACTCATTCCACCTTGTATGGTCTCATTCTTTACCAAGCGCCTCGCTTGCCTTGAGCACCATCAAGTATAGTTGTCAACGTTGAGCCGTAGCTCAAACTCAGCCATCCCAACCATTGTGCGCTTCACATTCTTCCAAGCTTGCCTGTTCTCGTGGTGCCTCTTGCGCGAAGGGTTGGCCATTCCTCTGAATGCCAATGTCAGATGCCCGCTCCTCCGAGCGACTCCTTTTCCCTACATCTCCATGCCCGTTTTCCCCTAAACGGTCGCTCGTGTGCTGACTGCCCTCAACACAGCCCCGCTAGGTCCCCCACGTTTGCATGCTAAGTGTTTCTATGAGTGCTTGTCCCGCTCTGATACCATCTGTCACGGACTTAGCTGGTTTTGCCTAAGTCGTGCGGCACCCTTGCGTGTCCGTCCGCAAAGGTCAGCCTCCCCGAAGCCTCCCATTGTCCCTTAGGACCAACAAAAGAGAGAACGGGTTAGAGAGATCGCCTCCATCGGGATCCCCAAGCAAACATCTCCGAAAAACACTTCATAGACAATACAAATTACAAACAGACTTTACAAGCTCTGAACAGTTGCACAACAAAGGGTAAAATGGTCCATTATAGATCGAAAATCTCTCACACGTGTCCACATGACACAACTTTTATTTACAAGCCTAAAGAGGCCACCAACCCAACTAAAATAGGACTATTAAACCTTCGGTCGTCCCTCTACATGCTGTACAAGGCATGAACATGCCAAAAGACACAGACATACATAAGCATTACATCAAACACTTTGTTTAAAAGTTTGTCCGTGACAGCTCGGTATACTGTACTGTACCGGTACCGAGCCCAGGTCGAAATACCGGTACGGTACGTTATTGCGAACGTTGCCTCGTACCACTAACTATAATGCAAGAAAATATTGCTATTTTGTTGACATAGTTTGTCTCAGGGTTTGCCTTTTTGGGTACCAAACTTGTTTCAACAATCTGTTGGAATGATACGTAGTCTGTATCCGTGTATCTAACACGGTATGCTGGTGCTTATCGATATTTCGATGAGGAAGAAAAAGATGGTGAAGAGGAAGGGGTGGTGGAGGAGTAGAGGAGGAAGGAGAAGAAAGAAGGGGAGGAGGAGAGGTGCAGTGGCAGCGTACATGGGAAACAGTGGCAGCGGCAGCGGCGAATAGGCAGCGCCGCTAGAGTATCGTGACAGTGAGGGTTGCGGCATTGTACATCTAATTTGCATTTGTTTTCTTTTTTAATGCTGAAATGGACTGGGTGCACCACTTTTTGAATTTTTTACTATTTTAATCAGATTGCCCGAAGCGGGGGTGGTTTGCATATCGGTCCATGCCCAGACTAAGGGGTGGTGGAGGAACAGAGGAGGAAGGAGAAGAAAGAAGGGGAGGAGGAGAAGTGCAGTGGCAGCATACATGGGAAACAGCAGCAGTGGCAGCGGCGAAGAGGCAGTGCTGCTACTGCATCGCCGCAGCGAGGGTTGCAGCATTGTACATCTAATTTGCATTTTTTTTCTTTTTTAACGCTGAAATGGACTGGGGTGCACCACTTTTCGATTTTTTTACTATTTTAATCAGATTGCCCGAAGCGGGGGTGGTTCGCGTATTGGTCCATGCCCAGACTAGTACATACCACCTGTAACATACCGTTTTGGGCAGTACAGCAATCACTGGTTTGTATAATGATTTCAGATGGAAAATTGCTTGTTTGTGCAGTTCTTAAAAGAAAAAGTATGTTTTTATTCAATATAGGTTGTGAATGGGGATGACTAGTTTATTTTTATCAACAGTTATCTGATTCTTCCAATACAGATGCTGAACTGGGAGAAATTTTTTGTTATCTGAATTCTTGCATATTGGTGTTGATGTGATGTAAGAAACAACTTCAAACCATTCTTTGTGTTTGTATATATATTTTTTGTAACGAAAATTTCTTACAGATGGTTTAATATGGCTATTAGGGTATTAGGAAATTGTCTGTTGTATAAAGTCAAGCAACTATTATTGTTTAAGTTGTTTCATTGTTATTTTTCTGCAAGGCTTTTGATGTAGATTTAAGAGTCCTCTTTGGAGTATGATGGTAAGTTGGTGATCTAAATTGAGCTAAAAAAGAATAGTAACCATCTTTGCACGTTACGAACAGACTTGGATTCCTCTAAAGCAGTTCTTGTGAAGTATCAATATGTAATGGTATAATGGAACCAATACTTGTCCTGGTGTGTTTCTGTCAGATCATCTTCACGCTTTATCGCTGACACCATTTTGTTCTCCTAAGTGAGCTAGGTAAACTTGTAAAGTATATTGCTGAAGCATGTTGATTGTTTTAATTACACTATGCTATTATGCTGAGCTATGTTTTTCGGGAGCTATAAATGTCTTAAAGTTAGGATGACTCTTCCAATTGTCATCTGTATGATTAGGATATGTTTTTAATTCATGGATGTAATCTGATTCTCTGTTCCTTATTGTGTATGATTTACTGATTTACTTATTCTATGTTCATTTTAGTTAATTGTGATTTGATATTTTCACATATCCTTTCTTACAGAAGCATCTGAAATCCATCAACCAGTTAGTTCACAGGGTGAGAAAGCAAGTAAGATCAATATTTGGAAAGGAGATGCACACTCTTCATCGCTAGCTTCTTCCTACAGGAAAAGCATTGTGATGTGTTTACAAGGACGTGAAAAAGGTACTAGCTGGCCATCAACTTGTTGTCTGGGTGGCTATGCAGGAAGAAATCAGGAAAGATGGATCTCATTTCTTCAGGGTAAGTTTCTTGTTCATTTTTGTATTGGTAAAACTTATTTTCTTTTTAACATAGTTGAATCTACGGCTGAGAGGGACTGTGGTTTGGTATGTTACCAGCTCTACAGAGACAAATTATCCTTGTTTAGTCCATAGTGAACCTACTAGACATCAAGCTCTTTTGACCCATAACCAATGTGTTCCAACTAACGGGCTAGTCTGGGTGTTTGTGGTGGATTATCTTGGCATTCATCTCTGATACTATCTGGAATATAGTCACCCATCTCAAATTCAGTAGCTTTCACTTCCAATTGCAAGATAGAGGCATGATGGATATTTGATCTGACTTGCCGGTCAAGCTTGCATGATTGGAGCTTTACCTGTTGCACTGACTGTGGTTTAGTTTGGTCGTATTAACATTTTCAGTCAATAATTTTCTACTTGAATGAATTATCTATGTTTTGAGCTTATTTTGGTTGCTTCTCTCAGTTTTGTATCTTCTTCTCCTCTTTTTTGTGTGAAAATCTTAATTTAGAGAAGCTACTGGTTGTTGTCGTATCTTTTTGGCTTTATTTCTTGATTTTCCTGCTGGATGCAAGGTTGGAGGTCACTTGGTAAACAGTTTGAAGGGCCAGCAGTGTGGCTTAGCCGAAGAAACTGTTCATCATGGATTCCTACATGGTGTGCCTACACATCCAGTGTAGCTGTTGCTCAACCCAATGATAGGGTGGGTATATGTCTAGTACTTTCATTTATGACCATATATGGATTATTTTGTATTGCTTCCGAATGGGGTGTCTTAAACAGAAACAATATTTCCATCCTGTCACTTTGTAAATTAATTTTATTGTTTGTCTTCTTTGTTCTAGCTTCTTACTTGCCTGTGGCCAATAACATTTTCTTTTTGCTGATTCTTTCTACACAGTCTTGAGAAATCTTAAATTAATTTACTTTCTGGTTGCTTATATGCTTTCTGCACAGTTGCTTATCTGCTTCATCTATCTTTATTATGATATTTAGCAAAATATCCTAACCTTAAACTTTTTAGTTTTTAAACCTCTTTGAACTATAATCTAATAGTTTACTTATTGAAGTATTTGAATGTTTGCTTTCTTTTTTGCTCATTTTTTGGTTAAATATGCTTATATGAGCCACAATTTGGTAATGGATTGGTACAAATACTCTTAATTCTCTTGTGCAAATTTTTTGTTTGCATGTTCCTTTCTAATGAGGAATTTACTTATATTTTCTCTTTATGTTGGTAGTGATTTTTAGATTCTTTGGTTGTCAATAGGATCAGCTTTGCCATATGTCACTGAACTTTTTCTTCAACTTTTTATACTTGTCCAAATTATTAAATAATCTTAATTGGAGAGAGAAGTTTAGGGAAAAGGGTTGAGATGAGGGAAGGAAAAAAGGGATAGATGAAGGGAAAGAGGGTTGATGATGGCTAGTTTGTAGAGTGATAAGAGGATTGAACTGTAAGGAAAAGGGAATATATCTGTTAGGAGTGAAAAAGAGGTCTTGTCAGCCCTCTTTTACACCTTAAAAGAGATTCGTTGGGTCTCCTTTGAGGTCCAAAGATTTTCAGGATAGCTTACCGCCTGACCCACGTGTGAACAGTCTGTTTTGGGGTGGACACGTCTCAGTTTGCCCATGGACACTAAAATTATGGTGAATTATGTGGTTAAAAGCAAGGATTTAAATATGGATATGCACTAGATAGTAGCAGTAGCCTCTCCTCAATGGAGGAAACCTCATGCACCGGGTACGCCCTTGTTTTTACTAGATAATAGCAACCCTTTGGTCTCGTATATCACATCTACCAGCATATAAAAAACTGAGGGGAGAGGGGAATCCTCTTGTTTTTCTCTACTGTAACTCGCATTTGGGCTTCTTCCTTTTTTTTCTTTCTTATTTTTTACCTCATGAGATAGGGTCAGAGGATGCCATGGTTGAAGCCCATTTCCTAAACTTAACTTTAGATTCATCCCATATTATAAAACATGGGATTATTTGTGTCTTCCCTTTATCGATTTGTCACGAACGGTTGTCACGCACTCGCAACATCTTCGCTCAACGAACTGTTTGTTGCTTTCGCATGCTTGTACAGATGCTTGGCAGCATGTTTTGCCTTGGTTTTGTGTGTTTTTGTCGGAAAAATGTAAGCAAGAACAGTTCGCAACGCTACAGTGTGATCGCTCATCACGCCGGGCAAAACTATCCCAAAATGGCTTTGTTTTCAGGTGCTACGACCTGTTTTTTGCAAACTGCAGCCGATCGCGAAACGTCAGCCATCTCAGACCCTTGGAACCCCTCGAGTGGCACAAGTGTGGATGGGGCTTAAGGGTAGTGTTGGGCGTTGATTGGTATACACAAGTTCGCATGTTAACTTGATGGGAACTTGCCATCTCGCTCGACACCCGGTGAGCAGTCGTTTGTGGATTTGCGATTATTCGTTTTGCCTTATAAGTCCCTGTTTTCTCTTTCCTCTCTTGCACTCAGAGTGTTTTCTGAATTGCTTGTAAAGCTTCTCTCTTCGCAAGACGTCGGGACTTGTCCGCCTCTTGCTTTCGAACTAATTAACTTGCTCTTTTTACAGGTCCTACGAGACCTGAGCGAGGTTACAAATTAGTTGACCCTTTGCGGACGCATATCGTAAGGGTGCGTTATGACTTAAGCAATCACAGCTAAGTTTGAGAAGTTGGCACAAGGGTGTTTCACGACTTAGGCAACTCCAGCTATGTTCGTGACCAAGGTTCGCAATATCGTATCGTACCGGTATTTCGACCTGGGCTCGGTACCGGTACGGTACGATATACCGAGCGGTACACCTGGGTGTACCGAGTACTGTAGCACTGCTACAGTGCTACAGTACCTCGGACCGGTAACACTCGGTCCGTGTACCGAAAACCTGTCGGACCGGTACGTACCGCCCGTACCGGGCGGTACGGCAGACCCTGTTCGTGACTTTGCTGTAAGGGTGTCTCACGACTTAAGCAATTTCAGCTAAGTTGTGACATTATGGTATCAGAGCGGGCAAGCAATTTTGAGCAAACAATGAAGAAATTTTGTAATCTTACCATGACGAAGCATCGTGGCGAATCGAGCAAGATGAGGCAAGCCAGGCCATTGCCCGAAGCAATCGTAGGTGGGTTGCAATTGCAAACTCGCTCGTATGCTGTTAGAGTTGCTCAGGAGGAGCGCAGCAACGAACATGACAAGCGAGAAGTTGGCTATTCTCCGCAAGCGAAGGAGGCGCAATTTGGAGCAACAATCGGGAAAAAGAGCCATAAGGAGAGACAGCGACGGAGTTCTTGAAGCGAGTTTGGAGAAACTTCACCAAGACCAACGAAGGCTTCTTGGGGTAGAGAGATCGTACGAAGAAGTTGGATCTCGGGTCGACAAGGTTGAGTCTCTGGTTGATCGACTGACGAAGGACACCAAAGACTCCGTGCAACATCTGCACGAAGTTGTGGTGGAACTCACTTCCAGAGTGATTGCTCACAAGGGCGCTAAATGCGGGAGGGAGCAACACCCATGTTGCGTCGCCACAAAACTTGAAGGCACCCGAGTTGCATTGCTACGGGGGTGCTAGGGATGCAAAGGAGCTCGAGGATTTCTTGTTTGACATGGAACAATACTTATGAGCTACAAAGCCCGATTCTGAAGATACTAAAGTTTTGATAGCAACCATGTATCTGAATGGGGATGCAAAACTTTGATGGCGAACCTGTTGGGAGGAGATCCAACAAGGTCGGTGTCGAGTGGACATGTTGTCACACACTTAGCTGGTTTTGCCTTGAGGGCACCCGGGTTGCATTGCTACGGGGTTGCTAGGGATGCAAAGGAGCTCAAGAATTTTTTGTTCGATATGGAACAATACTTATGAGCTACAACGCTCGATTATGAAGATACTAAAGTTTTGATAGCAACCATGTATCTGAATGGGGATACAAAACTTTGATGGCGAACCTGTTAGGAGGAGATCCAACAAGGTCGGTGTCGAGTGGACATGTTGTCACACACTTAGTTGGTTTTGCCTTGAGGGCACCCGAGTTGCATTGCTACGGGGGTGCAAGGGATGCAAAGGAGCTCGAGAATTTCTTGTTCGACATGGAACAATGCTTATGAGCTACAAAGCCCGATTTTGAAGATACCAAAGTTTTGATAGCAACCATGTATCTGAATGAGGATGCAAAACTTTGATGGCGAACCTGTTGGGAGGAGATCCAACAAGGTCGGTGTCGAGTGGACATGTTGTCATACACTTAGTTGGTTTTGCCTGAGTCGTGCGGCACCCTTGCATGTTCGTCCGCAAAGGTCAGTCTCCCCGAAACCTCCTATGGTCCCTTAGGACTTACAAAAGAGAAACCGAGTTAGAGAAAGCGTCTCACTCGGGATCCACAATCAATCGTTTCGGTAAACACTTTATAATCAATGCAAATTACAAACATACTTCACAAGTTCTGAACGGTCGCATAACAAAGGGTCCAAAATGGTCCACTACAGACTAAAATCGTCACAAGTGCTCACATACACAACCTTTGTTTGCAAGCATAGGACAATCACCAAAACCAAGGAAAATGAGGCTGTTAAGCCCACTGCCAGCCCTTTACATGCTGTGCAATGCATGAATAAAACCGGAAGACACGGACATACATGAGCATTACATCAAACACCCCGTTTACAGTTTTGTCCATGACATTCTCCCCCACATGCCCTTCTTTCGACGTCCTCGTTGAAGCCTTTGCATACGTTGTATCTCCTTGCCTTTGCTGAGTCTTCAATCTTTTCCTTTTGTTGCAATGCGCTTCTCGACTCCCAGTTGGACTCCACCATTATTGTTAAGTAGTCGAACTTTGCTGAAATTGGTAGGACAGTTTAGGACAGTCCTAGACGAAGCATAGCTCTAGGACAGCTCGTTGCCTAGTAGCTCCCGAAGTCCATCGACTTTGCTTAAATTGGTGCACCATTGTTTGGATCTTGGGCCTTTGCCCCTACTAGCACAATCTCCGCTGTGCACCGCTCCCTTCGTGGTAACTTGAATGGCAGCACCGTGGCGTATTCTTCAGGAGTACCCGTCTCCATGTCCTCTTGCCTCGTGCCAATGCCTTCTGAACCCAACCTCGCCTTCGTAAGTTGAGTCGCCTTGGTTCCTTTGTCAAATGCTTCTTCGAGATAAGGTGTATGTGCCTAGAAGCTCCCTTCGTCTTTGACACCATGTAGGATGAGTCTGCTCCATCAGAATGAGGGACCCATGGAACGACATGATCCCGCTCTTGCTTCTGCAAGAGTTCATGTCATTGACCTCTGTTCATGGAAAGCTTCGTGCCGACGCTTCATGTTTCATCTCCTATGTCAATTCCCTTCATGCGGCTTGGGTCCTTCATCAAGTTATACATAAGTTGCTCCGCTCCTCGATTTGCATTGAGTTGATGGTGGCTCTCATGCCTACCATTCCATGGGTCAGCCCTTCGTTGAGTTCGATCTCTATATGGGCTCCAAGTGTACCTTTATTTGTGCTGCCTTGGGTCGCTTCTCCACTTGATCTCGCAATGCATCCCCCAATACATTATCTCAAGTAAGATCATGCGACGACTCCTCGCCGCTCGCCCGGTCCGTTGAGCTTTGTGGGGTTGTTGTCTTGAGGTACTTCTCATTAACATATGTGGTCCGTTGCACATGATTCTCCTTCTAGAGAACCGGGACTTATCCCTCCAAGGT